CTCGTCCGCAAACAGCAACCTTCTCGACTTAACATCTCCTATACCGATACCCTCATTGCCTTGGCAGCTCCTGACTGTTCTATCCATGTACAACGCAAACAGGGTAGGGGACGGGACGCAGCTTTGGCGGAGACCAGTGCGAACGTTGTGTGGTTTCGACTTAACCCCATTAACTCTTACGCAGCACCTGCTATCAGAATACAGTGATTGGATGGCCCTTAGCAGCTGGCCATCTATCCCGTATGCACGAAGGCATGTCTACAGACTGTTGCGTGGGATCCGGTCATACGCTTTTTCTAGGTCCACAAAACACATGTACACTGGATGCGCGTAAAGTTAAGATTTTAGATGGGCTAAAGAGTTAAGTACTGAATGAAATAAAATATTGGCAAAAGAGAAGATAACCGAACTGAAATGCCGTTTGACTGAAGAAAAGAACGCACTGTGGCTAAAACCAGCTGCTGTTATGGAGAAAGTGTTCAAATACAACAACCTCAGACGAGCGTTTGCTTTGGTTCGGCAATACAGCGAAAGAAATACCGCCAGCTAGTGCTTCGACAGTTTGAAGGATGAATCACAAATACTGATCAGAACCAAATGTTGCAAGCGATTCCTATAACCTCTCTAGCAATTGTCGATGAATGGTCGTTCACAAGTTGCTTCAAAGCTTTCTTTCTAGTTAAGTAAGACATCCAATTATGATCGCAGTGTCGGTGTACCATTCCGCAAAGAGATTATGAACGCTTTAAGAAAAGAGCAAAATGGTAAAGCAGGTGGCAAAGAAAAAAATCTACCTAGAGCCTAAAACCGGACTGCATGCGCAGTCAAACGTCATTCATGAGATTTGGTGAACAGAGACAATACCGGAAGAGTGGCGTCAAGCAGTGATTATTCCATATAAAAAAGTACTGTATCGGATGTCTAAAATTACAGGAAATCAGTCTCCTCTGAGAGGCACTGAAGGTTACTGAACAAATTATCGTCAGTAGAATTCGACCATACACAGTGGCTTCCGTCAAGATTGATCGACCATCGACCACATTCTAACATTGCACCTTTTGCTGGAAAACATACAACCAACACTACAAGCGGCTGTTCACTGAGTCTGTCGATTCTAAGGCAGCTTTTGATACTCCAGACCGCGAAACCCTGTACCAGAGAGCCAAGCAAAGAGGTTAATTCGTTGAAATGGCAATGATCAGAACATGCTTAACGGTCTCTGACAGCTTTCTGATTGGTACACAAGTACGGAAATGGTTAGTCATCGGACCGATGCGTTTCAATCATTGCAGCGACGTCGTGATGACGTTACGTGAGAAAAGTATGAACTTCGATAATGAAATGATATTCCGAGTGATAAAATAGAATTCCGATGCCCTGGGTAGCCGCGCTGAAGATATCACATTAAAAAATTGATACCGGATTGAAATGGCGAATATGCACAGTGTAAAGAAAGAAAAATCTACCTCTTACTTTAAAGCAGCAGCTTTACTGTACCGTCCCACTGCTTCTAGACGCCTACGGGGACCATTTAAGCACGCCACGGCTCCATGGCATTTAACATGGTATTTATCTCAGAACACCGTAGCTCTATTCTTTCACTTGTTCACCTACAGATCACGGCAATGATCTTTCATTGAGCATACTTTGGTCAACCCATGTTTGAGATGTAGTCCTGCGTCCTATGCACTGCAGTCGCATAAATATCCTGGAGCAATGACCTGATTAAATGGGCCCCCTAGGCGTCTAGAAGCAAGGGGTGATGCAACAGCGCTGCCGCTGTAGCGTGAAATAGATTTTTCTTTCTTTACACTGCATTTTTGCCTTTTCAAACCGGTGTCATTACGCTTTTAATATAATTATTAAATGATATTTCATTCATCAGAATACCGGTTGCAGGATCTGGATTATACTAATGACGTATGGGCCATTGCAACGAAGCTGGAAGAAATCAAAAGACGCTGATAGCAATAGAAACTCCTGGCATTAATTATGGATTCAGTGAAATAATCGAAACGCAAGGTCTTCGCTTGATGGTATGTCAGACAATCTCAACACGATAAAAATGTACGGGCAAGATATGCAGTGTGTTCTGCTACTTTGCATCGATGATCAGTGATGAAAGCTGTGAAACAGATGTTCAGGAAAAAATCAAGGCTCGACCTGTGCGTATATTATGCTACAGCAAAATCTACGGGAAACTGTCATCAGCACGTCAGCGAAAGTCGGCGTCTATCTGACAGATGTTCGATCAGTAATGACGTTGGAGCAGAATACTCGGCTACGGACTAATTCATAAGATCATAAATGCTCAACTGCCTGAGGATGTGGGAACAAGCACAAATGGAGTATATGAAACAGAGACTAGTAGCAACGTTCCCTCTGATAAAATGAGCAAACTAAAACTCGACCATCGGTGATTCAGTATAACGGAACTACACGCGACTGATTAACGTCA